TCTCCAGCAGTTTATCCAGCAGACTGGAACAAAAGTCACCGTCCTGCCAGCAGAACCCACTGAAATAGAGGCCTCCCAGGCAGACCTAGAAAGGGGTAAGGTGCCGGTAGGAGTGTTTCTCCCTTTCTTCTGCCTAGTGAACCTCGAATAAACTGCTTGCAAGCGGTTAATTTTCCTGCCATTCATAGCTATCTTTTAAGTGGACTACTTTAAAAAAGAAAATTCAGCCTACTTCCTATTTCTGAGGAAAAACAGTATTATTTATTATTATTTGTTATTAGTATTTGTATTGTTTAGATGATCCATATAATCATCAAATTTTATTTCATTCCTTTTAAGATACGTATGAGCCATATCTATTAATTTCAAATTTTCATTTTTCAGTTCCTTATATGCTTTCTTCCTTTCCTAAAAGTATTAATTTACACAGATATGTAAAAGACAACTATAAATCTGTAAATATGTATGATCTAAGCAAGCAAAAGAAGCAAAATGCCCACCTTGTGCACGTGGCCAAGCGCTGGTTTACCCGTAGGCTCCCGTCTAAAGAGGTCTCAGCCTTCCCATCCACCTCGGCCCCCACAGGCCCCGCAGGTCCTCTAGGGTGCACATGGTCTCTCTTCTCGGGGAGCTCAGCACTCCTGGCTAACGACTCTCTGTTTCCCATGTAGAGGCACCGTTCCAGTCGGGGTCCCTGAAGAGACCTGGCTCGTCTCGGCAGCTTCCCAGCAATCTTCGTATTCTCCAGAACCCGATCTCGTCGGGTTTCAATCCTGAAGGCATATATGTATAATACCGTCTGTCGTTAGTGGAGGGACCCAATGAAGGTACCGAGGACAGTAATGTTCCTTCTTCACTTTGTGCCAATGACGAACAGAGGATGTATGTCACGACCCGCCACGTCTGTCTTTTCTCTCCCAAGTTGCGTGCCACTCAGAGCCATACCCCGTGCACTGATGCTAAAGAACAAAGAAACTGTTTTCACACATCAGCAGTATTGACATCTTTGTCCAGCAGCTATAACGCAAAGCCTTCATTTTTATTTCAGGCATTTTCAGATCATTAGGAAAGTATTATACTACGTGTGTACATAAATAAACCATGAACCAAGAGTAAAGAGAATTATGTGACTGGCTTAGCTTAATTTATTCCATGTACTTGATGAATGTGTGAATACTGTTTTAATATTTTTGTTGATACTTCTCCTGTGACTTAATTGTGTTACACATTGTGTGATTATGATTCTGTGTGCATGTTGCCAGACTTCTCCCCAGCATCGCCCATTTACCACTACAGAAGTATGGGGCGCCCCAGCCCCCATGCTAACTCCAGAAGAACCCCTGCGTCTCACTGATGAGCCTGTCCTAGCCATTGCTCAATTAGGTAACATAATTGAGATTTCTTTTTAAGGTGGAATTTAACCTTTCTGTACAGCGTTTTCAAATATCTGAGTGACCACACAGCCTAACAAATAATTTTCATGAATTAAATTGTTCATATAAAAGGTTTCAATATTTCATATACTGCTGAACAAAACTGTATGTTAGATATTTATCCAAGTGGGCATGGGGTTTCCTGATACATTATGTGATTTGTCTAAATCCTGTCTTATCATTTATTGCCCTGGATCCTCAGAATTAACATGGTACATAAATTACGGATATCCGAGGATCAGAGTGGTATACTCTGGGATGCTGATGATAGACCAAATGCTAATTGTTTTTAAATTTTCACTAGTCCTTGTTGGCAGCACATAAGGATTGCATTCATCTTGGGGGCTGTATTAGTACGGTCTGTTAGCATCCACGGCCACGGGTAAGTTATTCTTCGTACATGGTTTATGTTCTTACGCACTATTGTGCTTTCTCCAGTCACTTAGGAGAAGAGATTGGAGTTAGGTACCTTTTACTGAAGAAATAAAATTCAGAGTATATTTTCTTTTTTAGGTTTGCATTTTATAGGATATTAATCTCCATTTGTACATATGTTGTTTCATTTCTAAAACCAAAATGAGTCAAACCTGTCCCATGAGTGGTAACTTCACTAAGATTCACAAGTAATGTTTAGACAGATACTGTCTAGACACCTCATAGCTATTTTTACATTCCCTCTGAACAAATCTGGTACAATGTAATTACCATTTTGATCTGAAATTTAAGGTAGTTTGTCATTTTGAAGAAATATATTCTCTGTATTATTTACATGCAACAAAATAAAAGTGGGTTACCAGGGTAATGCCATGGTAACCTCAAAGAAGTATGTCTTTGCATGAAGGCGACTTTGGATGTCTCAGCACATGTGACTTATTTTAGGTTTAATGAATGCCAGGAATGCTGCTTTATTTAGGTAACCTAGGAGAAACTTTAAGAATGGCTATGAAAATATATAGAAGCTTCTAGAGAGCTGAAAGCAGTGCAGTGTTGCCTTTTGTAGTGCAGGTAAATAAGAGACCTCAACTGAAAATATTTTCTTTGGGTTCCTGGAGTTAACGAATTGATCTTGCCATTAGACGACTTTCCAGATAATGTGAGAAATATGAAATGATTCTTACCAACATGATCACAACCTGTACACATTTGCTCTCAATTTATAATAGTTATTTCTTATCTACATGTATTTAAAATTAAGATACTTAAAAACCAAAATAATTTGTAGCCTTTGTGATAATAATGATTTATGTATGCCCAATATATGCCTTATTTCTAAAGAGCCCTGTCCTACACTGAGTCATCCTGTGGTGGTTCAGAGAAATTCAGACCTTATTCACAAAGAAACACGTTTTATAAATTCATTGTATTCTATTCCAATGAAATGCTGAACCGTAGTTATGTTACACTTCGTGATTAATTGCAAAGCTGCCTTGTGGTACCACGAAAACCAGCATCAGTATCTCACTGTAACTTAGCAGAAGTTGTGTAACACCTTTCAAGAAGAGCAGGCCCCAGTCCACCAGCTTGCAGCGGTCCGGCTTCCCCAGCGTCCTCACAGTGCACCTCTTGGACAGCCCCACAAGGTTCTCAGGCCACTGTGTGGCCTTGTGATTGTGCACAGATGGGACTCCACATAGAAATACTGTGCCTCATGTGGGAAGAGTAAGGATATGTGAACTGTCGAGTGCATCGAGCAGCTAGGCTTTTTAATCAGTCATGTTACTTTTGGAAACACATACTTCAGTAGTATTTTTTAAATCTGTTTTTAAAATAGAAAAAAATTCATTTCCATGGAAGCATCTTAGAATATTTTAGTGTCTTTGGAATCATTCTTACCTATTGTGGATACAAATAACTTGGATTAAGTGCCACATCTTTAGGTACATTTTGAAGGGGGAGCAGGCCATGGTGTACAACAATACCAAATACAAAATTCTGCAGCAGGGGAAATATTCAGCTTCTACATAATGAATTAAGAATGTCTGTTTTTTTACTCACACAGTAATTTTCTACAATATTATATAGACTAAAATTAGCTTTTGTTTTTTACCAAGGAATAATCTGAAATGACATTGGTCTGTTTGACCTTTTGAGTGTCATCATCCTAAAAAAATGGGTTATCTGTTTTTTTCTTTATAAGATATCTTGGGTTGTTTGCATTTCTTTTTTTAATCTTAATGCACTGAATGTTTTTTATATGTGAGGCTTCAATTTTATCAGTAGAAGTTACTCTCCTAATTCTTAGTCACCAGTGAGCAAATCATCAATTCCTAGAGTTGAAATTAGTCATAAATGAGCTAAAATAAGACTGATAGAGTAAAAAATATCCAATACTGCAAAATATATAATAAAATTTATGGCGTGATGTGTGAGTTATAGCAATGTCTACGAAGAATAAATGAGGTCTTGCTTCCGCAGTTAAAACAAAATGTCCTCCTATATTGAAAGAGAACTTTCTTTGTGAATAAGAGCAAAATGGTCTTCAAAGGAAATAACTTCATGTAAAGCCATTTCTGTGAACCCTTTTCCAAGGTAGAATGTAGTGGATTGAGGAAGTAATTTGAAAAAGGCAAAAGCTGGCTCCCAGGCCCCAGAAGGATGAGGGCAGAGGGGCCTCTGGCGGCACGCATTGCCTTGGAGAACCTGGGCCTTAATTTATATATGTACGTAACAGCGCTGTGTCCTCTCTTCTACCTTAAGTTGTCTGTATTAGTCTATATTAAAATTTAGCTCATAAATATTATTTTTATATTCTGGTAGTTTCTTAAGTTGCATGTTTCTACTGTGTGCCACAGTGTTTTTGAGTTCTGAATGAAGGCTGTCAGCTCTATTAAAAAAGACAGAACAATCATTATTTATTCTAATCTTGCTGCTTTCCGTTTCCCGGTCAAGCTTTCGACACCAGGACAGTGACTGCAAGCTGGTGGAGCTCTGTCCAATGCATTATATATATTTTTAGAAACCACATAAATGCAGATAACTATTTAGTATACTAATTATATTAAACCAGCAGAAATATAAAGGCAATAAAGTCTATACATATATATGAGGGGAGGGAAAGATGAAAACTATAGATTTGCAGGCAGACATGAGAATAGCCCTAAGTGTATCTCTTAATGACTTTCTTCACAGACCCTAGGAGGACTGGAGTTGCTGCAGCTTTAAACAGAAAATTGCCATGTTCACTAATTGTGGGCCATAAATACGCTTTTAGTACTGCTTCGCTTGTGTACAGAGATCTGTAATATGTATTATATGTAATTATGTTCATTCGACTTTCATTTTAAAATGAGTATTTTCTGATTATTATCATGAGCTGTAAAGCAAAAGATCAATATCTGATATTCTCCCAAATAATAAATTTTCAGGATTCATTGGGGCAGTTGTTGGTTTGTTTCTTATGTGTTTGGTACCTTAAAATATAACGTTATTTCCTTTGAAAGCTGCTGCAGTGATTGGATCTACATACCCATGAGGCACAGCTCCGCACACCGTAAGTGTAATGTTAATCATTACGATTAAAGCATCCGCTATTGCTCACCTGATAGCGGCTTCACCAAAGCAGGCCCTAAGAAACTAACAGGCCTCTTTTTTTTAAATTTCAAAATGGGATTAGAGGGCTCGTGAGATGGCTCAGTGGTCTAAAGCACCTACTTAAAACAAGCTAAGCTAAGCAAAACACAGGGACAGCGGTTCAATCCCCCAGCACCACATGCCAGCCAGCCCCGCCCCCTGGTGGGCTGAGCTGGCTACATACACACACACTCAAACGCACACACACACACACACACACACACACACAAATAAAATTTTTTAAAAAATGGGATTAGAGAAGTTCTTTCAGCATGGGAGACATCTGTCACTGAGACCCACACAGCTGCCCCAGGAGCAGCTCCTGAATCACAGCTGAGGGTGGCCGGCACAGCATGACTGTGCTTCCTGCCCCACAGCACTTTCCTGTGTTGCACGGTAGCTCTGCTTAGACTCCGTGGTGCCGGTGGCTGCCCCCTAATCGCTCTCTACTGTGGAAGTCTATAAATCTTATGGGAGTATTCAATATTCCTATCATAACTGTAATATTTAATAGTTATAGCTTGATCAAGAGCTACATCAGTAAGTAATACACAAGCAAACAAATGAGAAATTTCGAATTAAGTATTTATCCAATGTGCTAGCTTGGGGAGCTTTTAGAATTTTAATTATCCATCCTGATCCCCTCTCAAGTCATGCGTTGTGTTAATGATACAACAAGAAATAACATAAGCCAAACAGGGCGGTGCACCTGAGGACGGGCTGTAGCAGTCTGCACCGAAAGTAACACGGCTCTGCCTCCACCTCAGGAGGCTGTAGACTAATGAGCAAGTGCCAGCCTCACCACGTGCGGGGCACAGGTAAAGGGACGAGGACAGCATGCTGTGGAGACAACACAATAGATGGGGCTCCCCCAGCCCAGGGAGCCCGAGACC